CCTCCGTTAAAATCTGAGTAGTTCAGGTTTGCTAATGTTAAAGCATTTAGCAATGCATTTAATACCTGCCAATTAAAGCTTCAACTACCTTAATGAAGTTCTGACTCTTGTACCCAAGTCAGAAAAAGCCTTCAAGTGTCAACAAAACACCCAGGAAAAAGACTGGGAGGAATTTTCAGAGTTGAGCTCTTAAGCCAACTCTGGTAGATGAACTTTTATACTGCTCACTTGAGTTGAAGTCTTCACTTACTCTGCTACACTTACGTTTTCTCTCACAGATATGTCTGCTTTTAAAAGCCTCCAAATGAATTCCACACGCTCCCTGGCTAGCGATGTGAACACTTAGCTACTTTGATAGGCTAAAAAGCTCTACCTCTGCTGCTGCAAAATCAACTTGCCCCCTATCTACTGGTGGATGCAGGAGAAGAGCTGATCATCATCCAATCCAAGTCTTTAAGCAATCTTTGAAATTTTTAATACACCTAACTGGCAGCAGTCTGCTCCACCCCAAACAGAAAACACGCACACACACTAAGTGTCGTTTCAGCCTTTTCTCACAGGTTGTTTTCTAGATTGGCATGATCTGTTTCTCCCTTCCAATGCAGAAGAGAGTACAGCACTCCAGTTAGAGCTCATTAGGACCAAACAAGACAGAGCAGTTCTCGCTACTAATGAACACCACCACTATTTCTGCAGGAGACTATGGCCACTAAGTGCAGGCTTTAGTTCACTACGACTCTGAACTTTTTCTGGTCTGGCGTGACGCTCTCTGCTTTGCTGCTGTGCATTCACAAGGGTGTGCAGTGACAGGACAAGGGGTAATGGTTTTAAACTGGAAGAGGGTACATTTAGATTAGATATCAGGAAGAAATTCTTTACTGGGAGAGGGGTGAGGCACTGGCACAGGTTGCCCAGAGATGCTGTGGATGCCCCATCCCTGTAAGCGCGCAAGGCCAGGTAGGATGGGGCTCTGAGCAGCCTGGTCTAGCGGAAGGGGTCCCCTGTCCACAGCGGGGGGTCGGAACGGGATGATCTTTAAGGTCCCTTCCAACCCAAACCAGTCTATGGTTCTACGATTTAATTTTTCCTGAGGAATAACACTTTCTGCCTTTCTTTAAGGCACTTCACTCTATTGACTTCAGACCGTTTCCCCACAGCACCAGTTTTCAGTGTGTCAGCAGTCCTACACAGTTTGACTACGCAGCCTCCTCGCAAATTATCTGCGACCTGTATTTTAAATCATGACCTGAACATGTGAAATCCTGCTTCATTATCACAGTACCTTCAGCATATCCTTTCTAGCTATAGCCTGTTAAATTACTCATCAGAAGTGAGGGCTGGAAGCAAAGTCTGCATTTTGGAACAGGGAATAATACGGTTTCCTGAGTAAGATCTGGATCTCACAGCTTCTGAAGTGCTCTGTACGTTTGTGCAACTATGGCATCCCAATACATTTCAGCATAAATAAAAGACAAAATTCCAGAATTAAGTCAGACTTACATTTAAAAGATCCATATCAGCAACCTGATAAGCTGGTGATCCCAATACTTTTGGAGGCAATTCCTTAACAGTAATATCAATGAGGGACTGAGTAGGGGAAAAGAACACATATGTAAGTATTTTTCCCTCCTGAGGGCTCGAATACTTTAAGTAACACCATAAATGAAAGTAAAATTGTAACAATTGCTTCCCCCTAGTAAAAAAGAAAAAAAATCCATCGTGAAAGTAACTGTCCTTTGAAGCGGATGGTTCTGGTAAGAGAACCACATACCCAATTCTGTCAACATTGCTGATAAATCCGAAAAACACTTTTAAAGAAAGAAACCCTTAAGCAACACTACGCCACCCGATAAGTAACTTACAGTTTACACCCAAAAAGTTGTCTCTTAAAAAGACCATTAGGGCAAGTTAGATGCAAAAGGCTGCTACCAATCACAATCTAGAGCATCAAAAAGAAATCAGATTTAAAAACGAGACAAACCCACCCAACTTACCAGTATTTTCTGCACAGGAAGAGAATTTGATCCAACAGTATTTTTTAATGCCTGGAGCAACATAGTCAGTATTTCTGACCCTTGTTTTTCTTTCTTATTTCCTAGAATAAAGCATATTTACAGTAAGAGCAGAACAAAGTAACAGTCACTTTGACCATCACTGGAAACTTAATGTACTGTAAGACCAAAAAAAATTCTGTGTGTTTTTACAAAGTACTTCATGGATTCAGATACCAAGTCTCTGCTCTGAAGAACAGCGTAAACAAAACTGAAAAGTTTAAATAAAATAACCCTGAGGTTTTATTAGTAAAAGGAAGTAAACACTTTCATATCATTAACAACCCTAATTTTGACATGCTAAAAAGAGCTGTGAAATTTTGCATTGATCCAAGCATTTCTGTTAGGTCTTTCAATATAGGAGACTCATTATTAAGAATATTCTGGACTTTCAAAGCATTTACAGAGTAACAAACACTTTTTTTTAAAGTAGGAAACAACTTACTTCTATACATCTGTAAAGACACGATACTTGACTATGAAATAAAATAGAATTAAAGAAAGAGGTAGCCATAGTCACATAACAAAGACTTCCCACTAATTTGAGTGGTACACTGAGTGTCTCAATTTCTCAATACCAAAGACTTGGGGTGGGCTTATTTTTGGAAATTGAAAGATTTCTTCAGCAAGAGCAGTTAAAGCACTTTTGTCTTACTGCTACACCTGCAGTCATACACTGCTGCGCCTTCCCTAGTAAGTCTCACTGGATCAGATCAGTATGAATTTGTATTTGCCTCACAAAGTCATAGACACCATGAAAAATATCAATTGTTGCTTCAGAAACAACTACTGATGATGCATAAAACCAAGTTTTACCAGCAATGAAGCAAATATTTAAGGTCTAGTCTTAAAAAAAACTCCTAACTGAACAGCAATGACAAGTTAAAAAAAAAAAACAAACACACTTTTTACCTGATTCAATAGCTGTTTTTACATATCCATTTATGTCCTTCCATATAACATTCAGCATGCAATCTACAAGACAGCGTAATATTTTATTCAGTTTGTAGTAAAAACATTGAACAAAACTGCAGTTAAAATACAGACTGAGTTAAACAACAGACTTTGATGTAAGCCAAACTTGACATAAGCTTTCAAACCAAGTCAGACCAGTTCTATTTAACATCAACAGTGGAATATTACAAAAAGTGGGGTTTTTTTTCCTTTGGTTTCCCTCCCCCACTTTATTTTCCAGAAAAGAAATTAAATTTTGCCACTAAATTCTTACCAGGAACTTCTTTTCCAATTGCAATAAAGCCGTCCTGAACTGCATTTATAAGTGTGCTGGCATGTTTACAAAAAAAAGAAGGGCTACTGATCAGTGGGTACTGGAGAGGCTCTAGGAGAACAAAAAAAAAACATGCTCTGTAAATCTGTTCTTTTTCAGCCTACTGGTAAGGTAAGCCTTAAAAATAATCACGTATATGTGTGTACTTACAGCATTAAACATAAAAACAACTTCTAATATTAAAGATAACAACTAACAGTTTTGAATGTTTAAACCATGTCATGCTAACAGACATCTTTAAAGCTGGCAAAATTGGCAATTGCAGATTATGCCAAAGTACTTAAAAAAAAAAACTATATATATATACATAACTCTCATACCTAAACTGAGTACAAGTTTGTTTTGCTTAGCAAAATTTAAAACTTCTGGTCCCATCATGAAGTGAAGCAGCATTTCAATTCCCAAAAGCTGAATGGAAGGAAGCACCACCATTCCCGCTGTACTAGAATTCAAGGTCATCCTTGGTGTGACTGGATTTGCAAACGCGTAAGGACCTAAACCAGGGGAGAAAAATTACATTGTCTCATATTTCACCTGCAATCACGTAGAAGGAAAGATCCAATAGACCGAAATCCCAAAGTTAACAGGAAAAGAACAAATCATAGAATAGCGTTGGCTAAAAAAACCTGTCTAACAGCCAGACAGAAACCTAGCACAGACTCCTATGAAGGAAGTAGGGTTTCACATGACACTTATAACCGCGTATTTTATAATCTATATAAAGTATAAATATCTTCCAAAGATTGCGAAGTCTCAGATGCCAAACTTTATTTTGCCAACAGAAGTTGTGATTACAGATCAAGTTACGCGCCATGCTAGGTACTAGTTCTATAGAAACTCTACTGCTATGGAAGTTTCCGTTAGAAACTTTTACACCAAACAGAAGTTTAAGAGGTCTCCTGCACAAAAGCTTCTTGATGAACCTCAGTTACGATCTCACAGAACTAAGATGAACTTTTTTTTTTAGAAAAAGGAACGGATGATCTACACATCTAGGAGACTTTCACAGCATATCTGAGGCTTCTAATTAAGCAGTCTACAACTACACAGGCTGGGAGACTTTCCGTACAGAGAAGAGAGCAGCAGTTGCTTATCTTGGGCATTTAGACGTAAAGCTTGAGCGGGTGTGACTCCACATGTATTTAAAGCACTAAAATTACTGATGTGTTATGATCACTGGGTTACTATTCAGGCAGAAACTAAAAAATGCTAGAGAGATGAGAATGGCATATATAAATAGCACATACACAAATACATGAAAAACTAAGTTTCAAACCAAAGCTCCCTTGCAAAAGAAAACACAATTGGGGAGATTAAAACTGGTCCTCAACATAATTTTCTACACTCAAAATACTGACCACAACAGCCTAATTTTAACCAATGTAAATCACTACCTCTGAGCTCTCCAATGAACATGCAGAAAAAAATGCTGGTTTTAATAATAATATATTGCAAATGAAAACACACAACAATGTTAAATAGAACTGATTACTTTCTGCATCTAGAATATAGGTGGAAACAGGCTTGTACTTTAATACCTGATTTCTGCACAGGGGTTGCCGGGGCTAAGCTTTGGTTGGCGGGTACACGTGAGGGAGTTCCTTGTAATGCAGCAGAAGAATCTGGACTTAAAGTACTTTGGATTAATGGTATGCAAACCTGCAAAGATACCAAACCTCAGTGAAAACAGGTATGACACATGCAAGCCGTAAGCCACAAAGAAATGTACATTTCGAGTATCACAGACTGTTCTGTTGTTCATAGCATCAGTGGTTCACAGTTTCTGGGTACTTGTAACAATATTTTTAAGATGCTGTATAAAATATGCATATGATACATGAATTGGAAATGGCTAGATTAAATAAAAGCTCGTGTTAGGATCCAACTGCACCGTGTCTAAAAAGGTAGATTTTTCTTCTTTACTCCTGAAGTTTAATTTAATGAAATTCAGAAGCCTAATAGAAGCGTTATGTTTAGTAATGAAATACCTGGATCATTTTTCTATGTATCTTTAAATATTTTGTGATCTTTTCAGTATGCTGTCTTAAGGCAGACTTTCCAAAGCGTACACTGCATGGTGAAGTGACACAGCAGTCCTGGTATAATGTACTTATGTGTACTATTGCTGTGCACTTGCTGGAGATTTTCACCGAGATGCTCATGTGACAGGCAGGTACACTCTCAAATCTTTCGTAACTTTAAAAAGATTGCATGTATAGTCCCAAGTGCTCCTGCTGTATGTAACACACACACAGAGCACAGCACACAAATGCGTAAGTCAGATGTGGTTCCTTACAACAGTTTTATTTGAATAATAAACTAGAGAAGGACAAAGCAGGTACTGAGTAAGTTATGGTAACAAAGAGGGGACATAGCCTATGTGTGAAGCTAAGCGATTATGCTACAACTGTTTCCAGCTGTGTTACCTGTTCAAAGTTTGCAGGCAGCTGAGGTCCCAGCCTCATGAGTAAATACCACCAGACCTCCAGTTTTGTCAGTGCCAAAGCCTCTGTTCTCACATGGATCGAGCTCAGCGGCTGCATTAGCAATTTCAGCCTTTTAGCGCTGCACAATATATCTTGAAGACCAAAATAGCATATTTTTAAGCAACAAAAGTAATTAAATCACAGAACAACAAAAAAGGAAAAATTTCAAACCATTAGGTTTTTTCCCCAATAGAGTTTAGCTTAAAATTCAATTAATGACAATTTGCAAAACTCAAATACACAGTAGATGCACCAACCTTTCAGACTATTTCATTGCTCTGATCGTTGCCTAGATAACCCTGGAAATAGCAAGTATTTCTTTCCAATACCAAGACTGACATGAAATCTACTGAATACCAACATAAACAGAAGGAAATTCACTCTTGCTTGTTATGTTTGAGAGTGCTATCTGCCACAGGAAAAGAAAAACCAAACACATAACGTATACATGTGTTACCCCTGGATGAGAATAAATGATTTACAGTATTTTGAGGCCACAAATGATTGTTTACCACTGAAGCAGAAGTAACATAGCATGTCTGGGCAGAAGTTTGCTCAAGCCTATGCAAGTGTTCGAAGAAGAGAACTTTTAGCCAGCTCAGCAGCATCAGAACCTGTCCACCCGCAATTCCTAAGGAATCGCTGCCAGAGACTGCTTTTGCAGTATGCAATCCATACAGGAACACGCACAACGAATGGCAATTGTGCCATGGATTTTATCTTCTGACAGAATCAAATCCTTGGTTAATTAATTTAATGGGAAACAATGATCAGAACAAATGATCAGATAGGAAACAAATTAAAATGATGATTTAAGTTAAATTCAGCTGAACTAAGGAATGTTCACGTTTTGCTTTCTCTTCAGGACACCCAGGAAGGAGATGCACAATCAAGGTAAAAAAAAAAAAAAAAAAAAAAAAAAAATTTTGTGTGTTTTGGCACAGGCTAGACTTAAGAGACCTGTTCGTGTCTGAGTTTTACCTTTGAAGCATTACAAAACAAAGGTTTGTTAATTTTGTTCTATTCATTTCTCCTAGCAGAAAAATTAAGATAGAACTATTGATGAAACTGTCACTTTTCCTTAAAAAAAAAGCCAACCAAAACCAACCACCACCTTGGATTTTACTTATGCATATATATACAGTACATACCGCTACGTGTATATATATACACCCCACTACGTATATAACACAGATATACTATGTGTGTATACAGTGGTAGGTACCATAGTACAGACCACTATTAGACAGTGTATTCTCTTCTGGTTATGTAAAGTGACAGCAGTCAAAAAACAATTCAGGTTAACTTTTTTTAATCTACCTGGATTTAGAGCAAAATTATCTATTAGACTCTTCCATGCAATGAAGGCTATTTTCTTTACCACTGGTGAGCCACTACGAAATCCAAGTTCCTCCAGTTGCAGCAGTGAGTTGATAAAACTGCCACTACGATGCAGAGTCTGAAGATAAAGAAGTTCAGCATTAAGATATTTATGTTGCCAAAAATTCCTCCCTTAAAGATTCACGATTGTCAAACCTACTGCTTTTCTGCTTACCTTTCCAAGTAATTTGACAAACAGCGGCCATAATTTTAACACGTAAGTCTCATTTTTTGTAGAAAACAATTTCTGAAGTTCTGAAATTAATTTCTGCAGACAGAAAGAAACATAAATTTCTACAAGAAATATATTCAAAGTATTCTGAAAACTACATACTCATACCAATGTCTGGAGACACAACCGACCTGGAACTACACTGTTGCTAGATCAGGAGGATTTAATTCTGTACCTGTGGTGGCGCATTACTCCCACCCACTTTTCTCTCTTGGACCACTTTATGACCTTGGGAATTCCTGCCAGACCTCAGCCTTTGTGTAGTGAGTTGGTCAATTAGGCGCCCCTTAATTGTACCAGAAACTCCTATGTGGCTGAGGTGGGGAGAGGCACCAGGGAGAGGCACCATCCCTACTAGAAACACCGGTTGACTGGTCAAGGCAAGGAGCAGAACAGGAACAATCAGTTATCCCGGACAGCCTTGGAACATGCCCCACCTGGGTGGCAACCCAAGCGGAGCGGTACCATTGTTACTGGAATTTCAGTAATCACCAGCTGGATTGTGGTCAGGATGACAGTTTACAAATGACTAAAGCCGATCATCTCATGACCCTATAAAACAGGGGTTCAAAGCGAGGACCCTTTGAGCTCTCCTGGACTGCAGCAGGCTGCGACCAGGATCTCCCTCCGAGTGGGACGCCTCTCGTAGTTCGCGAACTCTTAAGTTTATGAAATTGGAGGTCCATCGCTGAAGACCGACAGTGGAGCCTGGGCTGAAACCTTTCACTCCTTGAGGCTCAGCCCTCGGCCATCGAGAAATGCTAAGACATTCGACATCGAGTATTTTCACTGAACTCGAGGGGAATTTTTAGCAGGTATACCCTTGTGTGTATACATATTGTATGGATATAGTGATGTCTGTGTGTGTATGCATGTGGGAATCAATTTAAGTAATCTGAAGACGTGCAATTTAATAACTAATTCTGTGAATGTTAATTTAGTCAATGATCAAGTGCTACTAAAAATCTTGTGGTCCACTTTAAAACCGTGAATAAACCTTAGACTGCTGCGAGACACCTATTAACCTTAGACATAAACCCTTAACCAAGTCTGAGACTAAGACTGGACCTAGCTGCACTCCTCTGAGGAGTTTAGAAATCAAGGGGGTATGCTGCGAACCTCGTGAGACTCAACAGGAGGATTCCTCTCATTCACATAAACCGCTGACCAAGCCTGAGACTAAGATTGGACCTAGCCACCTCTCTAAAAAGCAGTTTAGAATGCAAGGGGGTCTATTCTGAACCTCGTGACTCAACAGGAGGGTCCTTCATATCCTCTGCATCCACAATCTCTCCATGAATCCTTCCAACTTGAGTGTAACTTAATTTGCCTTTTTGTACTTCTTCCACGCAATGAACAAGCTGCCTAGGCAGGCTCTAGAATTTCCACCCTTTAACATATTCAAACCTTAACTGGACAAGGCCCTGAGCAATCTGGCCTTCACTTTGAAGGCCCTGTTTTGAGTAGGAAGCTAAGCTAGATGACATGAGCTACCACCACACCACACCACATTCTGCTGATTTTAGTGCGGTAAGCAAATTCTCTTTAAGAGACAATAAAAGTTTAATGATATTTATGAGTTAATATTATCAAGACAGGTACAGGTCATTTAAAACAGCACGTTATTTTCCTGATCAATGATTCTTGTTAAACTATTATTTTTTTTACAGTAGTCCAATACTTAAATTGCTGTCACATGAATTTTTCTGTCCAAACTGTTGCCATCAAGAAGTTGCTGTCAATGCCCAGAAGCTTTTTGCTGCCATGATCTAGGCTGCAATTAAAATTTTTAAAACCCCAACCAACCAATGATTAGAAAAACAACTCTAGAAAAAAGGCACAGCATTTCCACTTACTGTGGTCATTAGGTGCTCCGTGACAGCCGCCACCTCCTGCTGTTTCTGGAGAAGCAGTGGCATGCCCATCTCCAGCGCAGTGGCACCTCGTAACTGCACCTTATGAGCTGAATGGACGACCAGAGGAATGATCAGTTTTGCCCACCTCACAGCCTCTTCTCCCATCTGGGCTGGAGTTTGCTCCATTAAGCTAGAACCAAAAAACAAATACAGGCATTACAAATCTCCAATAGACATACTGCTCAGACCCTCAAAGACGATCTTAGTATCATCAATAAATGCTCTAGTTCAACATTATTATTTACAGGAAACCATTCTAAACAAATTTGGGGTTTTTATTTTTCTAAACAATTATATTTTGACAGTTCACTTAAAACTGCAGTGCTAAAGTGTTATTTCAGGTAAACCTCTCCAAAAGCAGAACAGACTGACATTTACAGTTGTCCTTTCCATTCTATCACAACTTTTTGGGCAAACGAGCTGAACTGAGAGCCTGAAAGGAACAATCCATCAGTTCCTTATTAGTGACCAAGTACAAAGGTTTGCGCATTAACCACCCTTTGTGCGTTCCTAGCAGGCCAGACCAGCTCCAACTGGCCATGTGTGCTGAAAACAATACATGCCTGCTTTTGAAAAACAACTCCAACCCTGAAGTAGCACAGGTTTGCACAGACTCCACGTGTATTAGCCTAGGCAAGTATTCTTACCCCTCTATTACTGAGCTGTCAGAGCACAGCATGACAAACAATTCCTTATGTTTACACCACCCCACTTTTCACTTTAAAATAGATTTGCAGCTCAAACCAGACGCAAAAAGTTTAAGAGAATAGTAAATAATTGTAAACATACAAGCTCAACACATTTACTAGTAAAGAAATGAAATTATTTCTAACTAAAGATAAAATTTGACTATTCTATCATTGCTGACCAGAACAACGCACTCTTGGTGCTGGTCCTAAAAAGTCACCTTTGGAATTAAAGCAGTACCCCAAACAGTGTTACGGGAAACACGGCAGTAAAATTTGTAAAGCACCAGGAAGACATTTTTAAATATAAATCCATATAATGGCTGAGAACTTCTCAACCAGGTAGGTTCTGAAAATGAGAAAGTAAAACATAACATTTGAAGCACACATGAGACTTTGGAAATATTTCCTAAGCCATTAAAAATGAAAGCAGTGAAAGTTTGTCTGCATATTGAGTACCTGTGTCAGAACTGGTTGTCATATTATCATTAAGGGCATATTTTGCAAATGAAGCAGTTCAGGAGAACCACTGGGAAAGAGACAGAAACGACAGTTCACACAACTTCATTCTGTTTTACTGACTGTAATATGGAACACTGTGGGAAAACAGCCTTGAACATATCAAGCAATTCAAAGAGCATTCAAAAAAGTTTTTGTTTCAATATTCTTCAAAAAACCCTAATTGCCTGTTTTAACAATTTAATATTGCAGTGCACGTACCGTATAATAACATTTAGTGCTTCATATTCAACCACCATAGACTGTACATCTCCTTTAGTAAGTATTGTCTCCAGGGTAGAAATAATACTGGACACCTGAGGAAGTAAGAGAACATTAGAGTGAGCACCTAATACAAATATTTCCATGAGGAGCTGGAATTATGAAATTTTGTTTCTCAGGACTGCGGCCTGTGTTTGGATGATGCTGGGCCTAGTTTTAAGGTTAGAGCTCTGACTCAACTGGATTATTCACAACATTCCTCCCCTACGCTGCTGCACTGGTATCTAATGGAATTGCTCTCACTGCAGCTTCTCCCTCACCAGAAGCAATCATTTGTTGGCTCTTTTCCCTCTGTAGCTGCCCTTAAAATTTTTACAAGAACTTAAGCCCTATATACTTGGCTGTCAAATTTGATGGAAAACTTCCAGATTCAAAAGCTACTGAGCCGAGAGCGACCAAGAGATTGCACAAACCTCAAGTCCCTAGGAAATCAAGCCACAAAAAAAAAAAACCAAAAAAAACCAACCCCCAACGTGAAGCAACTTACCTCCTTTTTAACAATTTCAGAAGGAAACGCCTGCTTAGAGATCACCCAAAGTGCCCGAGTGCGAGTGTTTTTGTCTGAAGTTTTTACCGCAACGCTGTTCACCATTGAAAGCAAGTCCTGTATTTCAGTTGCTGAAAGCAGAATGCACAGCACTCAAATTCTGTTCATCCAATTCTAATCAGCTTCTTAGCAAGTTTCAGGTCATTTTTCTCAGTTAACACTACAGATCCATTCAACTAGAAGCCCCAGCAGACACAATTTAGATGTCTTAAATATTACATTTTAGCCATTTGGGGAAATTTCTCTCAAAAGAAACTAGCAAAAAAGCTCAAAATGTATTAATATGCAAATTAATTAACATTCAAACCTTCTTCTATTTCAAATTAATTTAGCAGCACTTTGGTCAATTCCACTGCTACACTGACGTGTATAAATTCATTTTAGGGCTACAAGAGGCTTTATTATTAGAGGGTGGTGAAGTTGTAACTGAGGTAACAGCGAGCTCGTTACACAAAAAAGAATAAGGCTACCATAGGACTTAGACGCAACTAGGAAGACAGATGGAGAAATCATGTATTCCTTTAAAACTCAAAACTAACGGAGCCTGATTTCTTACAAATTTGGGCTTTGTCAGTAAACAACCTCACTATCAGAGAAACAAACTCACACGCACTCCCTTCTTCAAGCAAGAGTACATACGCTTTTTGTCCTCTCTCCCTAACTCTCCACTGTTTTCAGGACTTAATTATTTCTGAAGCCTGACATTCTCTAAAAATATTGACTGTACTCTATCAACTGGTTAAAAAAAGTTATGGGGGAAAGGAATCACACAGACAGTATTACAGATGCCTCATTCTCACAGGAAATCAGGCTAATGTTCGAGTAACAGGAAAGCAGGACACAGTGGAAAAATCACTGGAAGAACCAAGAGAAAGAATCAACTTCAATAAACAGAATGGCAGGGTCACATGAAAAAATGCTCTCTGCACATTCACACGTATGATTTTGTTCAGTCTTGCCTGAGTTTAAGTTTCTCTCTAATAAAGGTCATTCCAGAACATTTGTCCAAGAGTATTTAACACTTCTCAGAATAAAAAAAAAAAAAGGAAGACCAATTGACAGTACGTCATTTGGTATTACTATCTGAAGAGTCAGTATAGACTCCAGCACCATCACGGCACCACCCAACACCCAAATCACAATACACTTCTTCTTGTGCCGATGAAAGGCAACCTGAGCTTCACCACCTTCCACCACCACACAACCAGTCTACCTGACACACACACAGACAGAGGCAACTGACACCGTCACTGGATAGGCCTGACCCCTGGAAGGTGTAACAGGTACAGGTACCTCCTGAGGACCAGCCACCATGGACATTAGCTCTCCCCTATTAACAAACCCTAGTGTTTTCACCTCAATGCATAGCTTTTACTTGTCAGCAGCAAGAACTTTTGTTAAAGGGATTTAGCACTTTCTAAGAATACAGGCCGTAAGATTTTGGATACGCGTACCCAATCCTACAAATAAAAAAGCGTTCTTCATTCTTTTTCCACCTGGAAGTTTTTTTTTTTTGATTATTAATTCCACAAAACTAATTGCAGTACCTAACTTCTACCAAAGCATTTAATGAAGCTAGAAGTTAGTAAAACAGTATTAGCATAAGAGCATGAAAAAAAAAATCCCATTTTTTTTGTACAAGATGGAATTAGTGAACTGATCACACCGCTCATACCAGAGACAAAACCACTGCACCACTTGGAAACTGTAAACTTTGTCAAAATTAAAGGATATGCTAACAAAGAAGTAAAGAAAGAGCTCTGATAGATACACACATACACACGCACATTACCAGCACCCATGCTGAAGTTTACTTACCAGATAATTCAGATGCAATCTTTGAACTAAAAACGCAGAATCCCAACGCCTGTAATGCTGCATTACTTAGCTCCGAGTTTTGACTAGAAATGTGTGCCTGAAAAAAACCAAAACCATACATAAGATCTCAGTTTACAGAAGTAGCTGTGAAGTATTGTCTTAAAACCAACTCTTCTGCTCAGTGAAGAAAGAGCTGTCAAAAGCAAACATTTGATGAAAAATGTTCCCAGTTAGGAAACCCTTCCTGATTACGTACACTCCAAATCAGTAACACAATTTGAAGTTCAGAAGACATTTTTGAGTTTAGGCACCTTTACTGCAGTAAGTTCTACACATCCAAAGTTCTTTACTTGTTACGTGCCAACACCTGACTCTCCAATTGTTTTTAAACATCTAAAACAGCTGGGGAAAAAAAGATAACTATGAACAGTCTTTACATTAACCTTCAAAAAATCTGACATTTGCTACATATTCCAATTCCCCAAAGTGTTTTTAAAGGCAAACAGAACACACCGTATCTTTTCTGGCTGGAAGATCATCTTTGACGATATAACACCACCTACACACACCCAAGACCCTGTATTTCTTTTTTTTTGGTAGTAACCTTTAGTAACATGGAAGATACATTTTGCCAACAAACCCTTACTGCTATGTCACTAGCTTGAATTCTTATTAAAAAACCTCAAATTCAAGTCTTACAGTGGCCACTGACCTTGACCACCTAAACATATCTCTGTTCACTGAAGTGTAGAAAATCGAGTGGAAAAGACATACCTTAAACACTTTGCAAAGTCGAGGAATGTGTCTTCTGACATCTGCAGTGAATTCTTTGCCTCCCTCACCCGTCAAGCGACTTTATGGAGCAGAAGGGAAAACAAGCAATATCCACAGGTTAAACACGTTACAACCGACCTAACTTTAAACTTCACAGTTCTTGAGCTAACATAGAACCACTTTTTTCCTTAGAAAGATAAAAGACAACACTAAAGAAGTTACAGAGCAAAAATGCCAGCCACCACATAGTTAGTCTGACACATCAGTAAAACAGCGTGTTATAAAGTACAGGTGTCCCAGTACACTGGGAAGAGCAAAGTGACTAATGACCCATTCTGTGCTTATGGGGCATAAAGAAAAAAACATTAAGGGCTTTCATTTCTTGTCAACTTTTTATAAAAAACATTAAAAGTTAATACGTAAACTTGAAATGGCTGCTGAAAATTAGAAAAACTTTCCACAGAAATATATGAACTTAAAAAGCATATTTCCTCAAAAGCAGTTCTAGAATGCAGGCTCCCCACCCCAGGAAAATTCTGGTTTGACAGCCAGCAGTGATGACTTTGCTCACACCTGAAGAGCATCCCTACAGAAAAGCTGTACTTACCCTGGGAAGCGTTAGCAATCGGTTTCCCATAGCAAAACCCAACCTTATTAAGTACAATCACCCAGAAGGCAATATGATCTTTAAATTAAGATGGGGGATTTTTTTTGCCAGTTATTACTAGAAATCTGTCAAAATCTTATAGTGGGATCAGTATCACCGACACCTAAGCAGTTACAGCTTTAAGTTACTACAAAACTCAAAGACAGGAGCTCCAGGGAGATACTGATGGAAAGAGATAACGCCTTTGCATATGCTAAAAAATCTGAAAGATCCAGGTACGGGCGGCACTTCATGGTTAAGAACCTTCCACAAAGAAACGCAATTAAGGCAGGATCATTCCAAAACCCGCAAGCCACACCAAAACTTAGCCGTTCTGATCATATGGCTGAAACGCGAGACTTCTTTCAGGAGGAAAAAAAAAGGTTTTGTTTCCCGACGTTCCTTTCCCCACTCCGCCGTTTCCCC